TATAGATAGATAGATAGATAGATGGGGCAGCACGGTGGCGCAACTGGTAGAGCTGCTGCCTCTCAGCGAACAGGTCCCTGGTTCAAACCCAGGTCCAGGTGCCTTCTGGGTGGAGTTTGCATGTTCTCTCCGTGCATGCGTGGGTTTTCTCCGGGTACTCCGGTTTCCTCCCACAGACCAAAAACATGCATGTTAGGCTGATTGGTAACTCTAAATTGTCCCTAGGTGTGAGTGAGAGAGTGAATGGTTGTTTGTCTCGTTTGTTTCTATGTGGCCCTGTGATGGACTTGCGACCTGTCCAGGGTGTACCCCGCCCCTCGCACAGTGATTGCTGGACATGGGCACCAGCGACCCCCGTGACCCAAAAGTGGAATAAACGGGTAAAGATAATGGATGGATAGATAGATAGATGATAGATTGATAATAGATCGATAGATGATAGACAGATGATAGAGTATATAGATGTGTATAAACACTAAAATAAACTATTAATACTTGTGCTACTATTTCCACTTCGTATTTTTTCCTCTTATTGTGGGGCTTCAGGATATGGCTCCCCCATGATAAACGAGGGACTACTGTAACTGTAGTATAAAATTTATAGCTGTGTAAAGGTTTTCGAAATCTTGTTTGAATTAACCAAATCTCAAGACTGGACTTGTTTTAGGACGACAGCAGTCCATTTAGGTCCAACTTGGACTCACCTTCAGCTTCTCAGAATTAAACTATTTCTGAAGCTGTTCAAAGAGCCATCTACAACAGGTAAGATGTTAACTATTCAAAGATCCCAACTATTGCTTTAATGCCAATTTAGTGTAAGGATGGGAAAGAAATGCTCTAAAACGAGCGTCAGTTCAACATAAACTTACGAGTAAAAGTTTTATCTGCAACCAGACAGATTTCTGTGAAAACGTCTGTGAGAAGTCAGTTTGAAGCTTCATCCCCTTAAAAACAGAGCTAACAGGAAGTTTAACAGGTCGTCATTCACAACCGTTGACCTCTTGGACAAGTCTTCAAATTGACTGTGATAGAAACTGTTCAGGATGAAAACTGAAATAAAACGTCTGAACAAAAGGTGTAACAAATTCGGACAAGTTTTATTGTCTTTTTCATAAATAACACTGAACAAGTGTTGTACAGTGATAAATATTTACACTGTAAAACTCTGTATTACAAAATACAGTTTATGTGTAATGCACTTGATACAGATTGGGAAGCATTGCATTTCATAGCACCAAATGTGACCCTTTTGCCTAAACATTTGATCTCGGGGTCGCTCGGGTGTGCCGTTACTCCTCAGACTCAGGTCATCTGTGGGTGTCTATGAAATATACTTCCCTCAGGAATCAGTTGTTGCATAACTAGATCTAAGATAAATTGAGCCCACTTAGGAAGTGCCAAAGCCTTTCGAGTAAACTGCTCATTTTTAAACCATCTAAATGTTTTAAAGTCCCAACTGAGAGACTAAAATACTGCAACGTGGCCAATCAAGTTTTGTACTCAACAACATTTAAATTCCCAAATCGTACTTTGTTTTGGGAGTTTGTCAGTTTTTTATGGTTTAAAAAACCCAGTGAGAAATACAGGTGCGGGTCATAAAATTAGAATATCATGAAAAAGTTTATTTATTTCAGTAATTCCATTCAAAAAGTGAAACTTGTATATTATATTCATTCATTACACACAGACTGATATATTTAAAATGTTTGCTTCTTTTAATGTTGAGGAAATTAATGAAAACCCCAAATTCAGTATCTCAGAAAACAAGAATATTGTGAAAAGGTTCAATATTGAAGAGACCTGGTGCCACACTCTAAACAAGTAATTAACTCAAAACACTTGCAAAGGCCTTTAAATGGTCTCTCAGTCTAGTTCTGTAGGCTACACAATCATGGGGAGGACTGTTGAATTGACAGTTGTCCAAAAGACGACCATTGACACCTTGCACAAGGAGGGCAAGACACAAAAGTTCATTGCTAAAGAGCCTGGCTGTTCAGAGTCTGTGTCCAAGCACATTAATAGAGAAGTGAAGGGAAGGAAACAATGTGATAGAAAAAAAAAGTGTACAAGCAATAAAGATAACTGCACCCTGGAGAGGCTGGTGAAACAAAACCCATTCCAAAATGTGGGGGAGATACACAAAGAGAGGACTGCAGCCAGAGTCAGTGCTTCAAGAACCACCACGCACAGACGTATGCAAGACATGGGTTGCAGCTGTCACATTCCTTGTGTCAAGTCACTCTTGAACAAGAGACAGTGTCAGAAGCATCTCGCCTGGGACTGCTGCTGAGTGATCCAGTTATGTTCACTGATGAAAGTAAATTTTGCAGTTCTTTTGGAAATCAAGGTCCCAGAGTCTGGAGGAAGAGAGAAGAGGCACAGCCACAGAATCCACGTTGCTTCAGGTCCACTTTCAAGTTTCCACAGTCAGTGATGGTTTGGGGTGCCATGTCATCTATTGGCGTTGGTCCATTGTGTTTTCTGAGGTCTAAGGTCAACGCAACCGTCTACCAGGAAGTTTTAGAGCACTTCATGCTTCCTGCTGCTGACAAACTTTATGGAGATGCAGATTTCATTTTCCAACAGGACTTGGCACCTGCACACAGTGCCAAAGCTACCAGTACCTGGTTTAAGGACCTGTTCTTTATTGGCCAGCAAACTTCCCTGACTTTAACCCCATAGAAAATCTATGGGGTATTGTGAAGAGGACGATGTGATACATCAGACTCAACAATTCAGAAGAGCTGAAGGCCACTATCAGAGCAACCTGGGCTCTCATAACACCTGAGCAGTGCCACAGACTGATCGACTCCATGCCACGCCGCACTGCTGCAGTAATCCAGGCAAAAGGAGCCCCAACTAAGTACTGAGTGCTGTACATGCTCATACTTTTCATGTTCATACTTTTCACTTGGCCAACATTTCTAAAAATCCTTTTTTTATTGGTCTTAAGTAATGTTCTAATTTTCTGAGATACTGAATTTGGGGTTTTCATTGGTTGTCAATTATAATCATCAACATTAAAAGAAGCAAACATTTTAAATATATCAGTCTGTGTGTAATGAGTGAATATAATATACAAGTTTCACTTTTTGAATGGAATTACTGAAATAAATCAACTTTTTCATGATATTCTAATTTTATGACCAGCACCTGTAGATCCCTCTATAAGCTGCAAATCTTTCGTTTTTTTTCTGTCTAATAAACATTAAATTTGTGTTTTGGACTGAGGTTGAGGACGTTCATGCAGCTGTAGTGAGAAGTAGATCAATAAACATTAGTTTACATGACAAATAGTTTGTTCTCTCTTTTAAAGACTAAAGAAAGTGATACAAATCTGAGCTAGGTGCTCTCACATTTAGTCGTCTCGTGACGTGGCCTTCACATTGTAGGCAGCAGGATTTTTTTTTTCTTCCATCAGAGGCAGCAGGAGGTAAAAAAAATTAAATAAAGGCAGGCTGAACGCGTGAACACAAACCTGGGAACAGTGACGATCGTTAGACATCGTTAACACAAAGGGCTCAACAACTCAGACGCTTGGTTTGAGATTTTACAAATATGACAACTTTTTGTGTTTATTACTTTTGACTGTGAAGGATTATTGCTAAATCCAAACAGGAAAGGGGCCTTTAAACACCTGACGTGACTAAATTAACTGCTCATCAGAGGACTGACAGCATGGAATGTGATTTTGAATTTTTTTAAAAACTAACTAAAACAACACAGAAGCCCTTATTATTCCTCAACGAGATGTCAGAGGAGCAACATGGTCCCACATTTATCTTGTAGTTTCCACACTGTGTTTGATTGACAGCTTAAGAGACATCCAGTTCTCCACACGAGCAGCCAAACCTCTTCCAGGTTTAACTCATCTGTATGAAAATAATGCCAGCTTATTGCAGCAGGTTGTGCAAAGTACCCTACAGCACGAGAACGTGGTTTTAAACACAAATAAGTGTTCACAGGTGATTTCTATCATCACCTACAGCAAACAATATATATATGTTTTTATTAATTTATGGCACGCATGAATAAGCCTTTTTCTCTCACTTTAGTTTAATAATTTAAACATAAAACCAAATCAACTTTGACCAAATGGCCAACAGATTTTCAGATTAGTTTGATTTTAGCACTGAATGTGACATTCATGCCATTTTGTTGTCGTTTTAAGATGTATTGCACTTTTTTTTTAAATCAAACAAAATCTATGTAGTAATCCTTAAAAGATAATTTCCCAGTGCCATCCCCATAAAAAAGTCAAAATCAAAGCTCAGTTCATTGAAAAGTTTAACAGAAAAACCTGACATCATCCTTCAAAGTGGGAATTGTTCTGTACTTCACTTTTAAACTTCTTGGAAAAAAAAAACATTCCTGAGTTTCCCTGTCATGAAACCAGCTGCTCTCCTCCTCACGGCACAAACAAAAATAAAATAAAATAAAAACATCTGTGGACAAGTCTGCTGATGTGTTTCCCAAAAAATTAAATAGGACACCTAAAAAAGTTAGGTGAAGCTAAATTATTCAGGTGTTATTAATGCCCTTATTTTGCTCGCTCCAAATGAGCTCTGTGTACAGTCACCTGAAAATACAATAAAAAGGAACAGAACGTATGAAATAAAGGTGCATAGGTTGGCAACGAGAAACGAGTTCCTTGGTTCTCTAGAAAGCTCCAAATTGCACATTCAGAATAGACAGCGGGCATTTAAAGCCTAGCTAAGTTTTACACCAACTACAATATTTTTCTAAACATCAGAATTTCATTGACATCTCCTGTAACCTTAAGAAGTACTTAAAAAAGAAGACGTACCACAAAACTAGTTTCACTGCACCTTTTCAACAGCAGGTGAGTGGTCCACGGGTCTAAAACTACAGAGAACGTTTTAGAGTTGTCCCACGTGGCAGAGCAGAATCTGTTCTGCTGAGTTCTCCGGACTCACTGAAGCTCCGCGGCCTGAGCGGCCGAGCTTGTGGAAGCTTCTGGCTCCTGCAGCCGGCTGAAGTCACACCACGTTGATGCAGGCGGCGCTGCCAGAGCCCGCCCTCTTGTTGCAGTAAGAGAAGCCGCCGTGATTGGCCGAGGAGCCGTTCATGTGCGACGACTTCAGCTCCATCTGGCAGGCAGCGATGGCTGCGTTCAGCTCGACCTGAGCCCGGTGGACCACGTAGAACATCAGGCCGATGCTGATGATGATCTGTAGAGGAAGATGGCATAAAAGGAACGTTTATTTGCTTTTAACAACAACTAACAACATAACTTCTAACCATTAGAATGATTTTGTTCTTATCTGAGCAACAGGAGTTTTTGAGTTAATGTTGGTAATAGTTTTTCTGCTTCAGTGCCTCTTTACTGCGGGGTCCCGCAAGGCTCCATTCTTGGACCCCTTCTGTTTCCACTATCTGCTCCCCTTAGGGTCTATCCTGAGGAAACATGGTCTTTCATTTCATTCCTATGCTGATGATTGTCAAATTTATTTGCTCTTAAAACCAAATAGATCATGCACAGTTCACCCTCTGTTAAAATGTCTGGATAACATTAAGGCATGGATGGCTTCAAACTTTTTAAATTTCAATGATTAGAAAACTGAAGTCATTGTGTTAAGCCCTAGCTCTACTGCCGTCTCTGTTTCTGTTAACCTTTGAGCCATATCTTAAGCAGTGTGTTATAAATCTCGGGATGGTTTTAGACTCTGACTTTGTTTAATAAGCAGATTAACTCTGTTCTACAAAAAAAGCTTCTTCCAGTTAAGGCAGATAGCTAAGCTTAAGCCCGTGTTGACCAAATCCGACCTTGAAAAAGTCCATGCATTTGTTACAACTCGGCTAGACCACTGTAACGTGCTTTATGTTGGGGTCAGGCAGGTGTCCCTTGCACATCTTCAGCTCTTCCAAAATGCTGCAGCTCGGCTATTAAATTAATTATTAAAATAATTAAATCACTGTGAAAAAAAACTGAAAAATCGCTGTAATGCCATTTGGATGTTGATGTGTGCTGCTGACTATCCATGATGCTGATCTCACGCTGCTGATTATTTCGTGTTGCTGTGTTCAATGGTCTTCATCTGCTCACACAGACTCGTGTTCGTGCTTCTGTTGTTTTGGCGCATTGTTTTTGTACCATTAGTGCTTAGTGTATTCTTAGTCTTGTATATTTTTAGTTTAGTGAATGTAGTATATTCTTAGTTCATGACTCAGATCTTACTAATGTTTTTCTTTACAATTTGTGTTTTTGTTGGATGTTTCTGGGACCCTGAGGTCATAGTTCATCCCACCTCCTCCTCCTAAAATCACACCTGTATTCACTGACGTTTAACACGATGTGATTTGATTTACTATTTCATCGTTTCTCATTGTTTTTGCGTTTTTATTTTAATGTTTTTAATTACATCTTGTTATTAATTTTTCTTTAATTACTGCCTTGAGCTTATTGTTAAGCATTTTGGCAACAACTGCTGTTTTAAATGTGCTTTCTGAATAAATTTGACTTGACTTGAATTAAGTTGTTTTTATTGAACTTTTTATCCAGATGGAACCGCAGTAAGTGTATATTTTACCTAAACCTGGAATTTCTGTATTAAACACAAAACAGCTGATGATACAGAGAAATAGTTCTGGATCAAGCACATTTACTGTCAAGTAGAAACCTCCCTTAGTCTTGAGTGATGGTACTGACTAAACAAAGGTGAAACGGTGGGAAATGTCACTACAATCATTGGCCAGCAGGCTCACGTCCTGTTTTTAAATCCAGTCTTAAAACACATGTTTGTCTTTGGCTTATAACTCAGATTGAGATGTTGGTTTTAATCAGTTTGTCTTTTTCTTATTTAAAATGTTTTATTCATTCTGTTTGCTTTTTAATTGTATGCGTTTTGAACAGGAACAAGTGGATAAAGAAAATGGATTGATCCGCTAACAGCTGGTCTGAGCGAGGCCAAGACCATATCAAAACAACTTCAATCTCAAAATTGTTATAGTAGTTCAGGCAAATATAATTTGACATTTTACATTGTCATCAATTTGTACAACTTTTTTTTTTTTTGCAAAATTGTTATTAAATTTTTGCAACAAGTGCACCTGGCCGCACTGAAAGTGCTACAGATTGTTGCTGTAAATATTTGAACTACACAATCCCGAGTGATTAATCATATACTGCGAAAGTCATCATTGCATGGCTTATAAAACAAGGTTCACATGAGGAATGATTATACTTTGGAGATTAGCCGTTTCAAGGCGCCAGCAATCCCCTTGATCCTGGTCACACTCAGACTAGCTGTTAGGTTGTCAAACACAAACAATTTCTCTAAATAGACGTCATTCAAAGAGCCATCTACTGCAGGTAAGATATTACTTTCCCATTTTATTGTGTAGTTTCACTTGGACACGTTTCTTTTTGTAACATTGTCTGTAAAATTATTGTCTGTTTAGAGTTTAATACGAAAGTTATTTTGCAACGCTGATAAAAAATATTTTTCTTTTTATTAAAACCCTGGGTAAACTAGTAGACAGATGTTGTTTTTTTTGTTCATACAAGTTATTTTTTATGTCTGTGTTCTAGCTATGACAGATGCAGGTGGTCCTATCATTTACTGACACATGAGGAGGTGTACAAAAGCATTTATCGTGAAGCACTAAAACTTTAATAATCAAAGGAACACGTGTTTTTTTAAGCTGGATTGACAATGATAATACAGATTAGGTTACAAAGCCAAAAACCAGCACGTGTAGGGTTCAAGTCACCTGTAAGAGATAATTTATTTGATTAAATAATACAATCACCTATAAATCAACTAAACTATCTACTTTGCTTCCAAATTTTATGTGTATATTGTAACTAAAAGTAAATTTATCATACAGAGTAGAATAGATAATTTGCATTACAATAAAGTCCAATAAAGATAAGTCATGATGATGGTTTTGATCTTTGTGTTAGGAGATGGAACGACAAACTTGTTGGACCTGAAAACTACAGGAAAGATTGAAGTGAATCAGTCATTCATAACAAAAATGCACCACATCATTTCAAGGTGCGGTTCAGATTTGTTTGTTTCTTCACCTACAGCAACATGCACTCCAGTTTCATGCATTGCAAATATTTTTTCTAAGAATAAAGGGAGTGGGTGTGTTTGCTCAGAGTGCTCAGAACAATTACTACAGCTGCCGCGATCTCTCAGAAACTCACAAAAAGCACGAGACTGTTGGAGTAAAGTGGTCAGAGTGCATTATAGAGGCTGCTAATGAAACGTTTGTGACAATGGTTGTCAGGCTGCGGCGGTATCGATGCGTTTTTGACTTCAAACTCCAGAAATATTTCATCAAACTCAACAAAACATTCGTGGAGTCTTGTCGTGCATTTAGCATTTTGGAAACAGATAAATGTAACAATGATAATGTTCTTTTTTAAGTTATTCCAACTCAAGTTTAAATACAATTTTCTCCATCAGCCATGTAGTCTAGTAACAAGACACCTTCCCAATCCCAAACAAAAAAAGGTCTTACTCTCTAATTTCAACGAAACTCTAAGCAGGACGTTTGTTGTCAATTTTGCAACTAACAAGGAACCTCTGCTGTACAACAACATGTTTATAAAATGTTATTAATGTTTAAAAGTAAACACAAAGTTTGTTTTCTCAGTCATCCAGGTATATAACAACAAAAAAGGTTGAATCATGTCAAACGAAGTCCAGATGACATGATTCAACCTTTTTTGTTGTTTAAAAGTAAAGCATTTGAGCTTTAAACTGAACAAAGTTTAAAAGGCAGCACGATGGATTAGGGGTTAGCACTGCTGCCTCACAGAAACAAGGCCCTGGGTTCAATCCCCAGTTTGGACCTGGGGTCTTCCTGTGTGGAGTTTGCATGTTCTCCTCGTGTTTGCGTGAGTTTTCTCCGGATACTCCGGTTTCCTCCTACAGCTTGAAAAAGAGCTCTGTCTCAGTGGGATTCTCCTGGTCAAATAGAGGTTAATAATAAAATAAATAAAATTGAACTTTGAAAGGACATTGAGGTCATTTTGAAAAGTGTCGTCTCTGTGCGAGTGTGCATGAGTAAATAAACGAATGAACATAAGCAGGAGTCACCTGTGAACCTATGAAAAATATAAACTTTATAAAGAGACGCACTGAATGGAGCACACGTGTTTTATTAGATTAGTAATGTCCTGCTACAGGATAGCTAACATCCACTCTGGCTCACCTGCAGGCTGAATACAAAGTAGCCGCTGATGCTCTGCTCAGCAATGACGTCCTCCATGGTGCGGAGCGTGGTGCCCAGGTAGGAGTTGAGAAGCTGTGTGGGCAACAGACCCACAGAGGAGGCCACCAGGTAGTTTGGCAAGGACACATCTGTGATCTTGAAACAGAAGCAGAAACGGATTTTAAAATGTTGATCTTAGCACAATGGAAAATGGACTCGGACATTCAGCTAACACTATATAACAGTGAGAAAAATGTGCATACATCGTCATTTATTTGGCTTTATTTGTTGTTTTTGTATGTTGATACTTCACATTAGTCAGCTTTATGATACATGGAGCCTGGTTGCATCCTGTCTTTATTCACAATGACTTAAAGTTAGATTTTAACACAAATTTGATCTAAAAACATACAAATGTAGAGGGGAGTTGACATCATACTATAAAAGGCAAATAACTAAAACAACATTAAAATAAAAAATAATAACAAAATAAAAAACAGGGTCTTTTTTTAAGAGAGTTGTGAGACCAGCTTTGTTCTAGTGTTTGGAGACAGCGGCACTGGCAAAATGACAGGAGACAGACCTGGAGTGGGAGTGAAGATGTTCAAGTTCTCCAAGGGTGGAACAGATTTAAAGAGTTTTTGTTCTATTTTTGAACGAGCATGTATCTATGCAGAATGATGCAGGATGTACATTGATTCTGAGTGACTTTGCGAGACTCGGGAAGTGATTTTGTTGCCATTAAAACAAAAAGCGAGATAAATAAGACTTGAGAAAATTTCATACGTAGAATCAAATACATTCCCCAACGTGGTGGGTTGTTGGAATTGCAATGTTACGCATCTGCAAATTCGTGTAGATTAATTTTAAACATCGGAAGTGATCAGAAAACGTGTTTTCTACATACATAGGCCTGTCGCGATAAACAATAAATCAATTAATCGCATGATAAACGAAAATTATCAATCTCATTTTCATTTATCGGCTTTATCGTTTCTTCATGTCTCTCTCTCTATTGAAGACACTGGATGAAAAAAAGCTCAACTCCAGTGCTCTTCACTGACCCCTCCGTTTCTCTTTCAAATCTGTTTTAACCGTCCAAAATCACATTTTGGGATCATTAAAAGCAGCTAAGCTGAGAAGCTAAGCTACGAGCTAAGCTAATTGGCTGACCTCGGGGAAAAAACCTGTCTTGTCAAAGCTCCAAAATTCACTGTTGAAACATGTGCCTTCGTGTAAAAAGTTGTTTTTATTTGCAAAAAGAAGCTGAGAACTTGTTTACTGATTTTTTATTAAAAGCTTTGTGTGAAAAATGCTATGCTAAAGAGCTCAAACCACACTGAGCATCCGACATTTTGAGAAACGAAAAACAGGAACAAGAGACAGCCCATGTCACGTCAAGAGGCCTCCCTTCCATTTTTCTTAAAGAAACACACTGCTTGCGCCATCACTATCCATCCTTCAGTTCAAACAGTTTTATACTGCCATCCAGTGGTCAAAAAAGGTACTACACACAAAAATTTACCAACAATTCTTCTTAAATTTGACAATAATTAATAATTATTGTCAAATGTCAAACAATATTATTGTTTATCGCAATAATTTCTGAGACAATTAATCGCCCAGCAAAATTTGCTATCGTGACAGGCCTATACATATGTTTCAGGCAGATTAGCACTGAGCTAGCAGAAAATGTCAGTGGTTTGCTATTGGATTCATTTTATTAGCAGCTAATTAGCACAACGCTAGTGCGTGTTTAGTGCACAATTTTGTTTAATCTTAACGTATTACAACACTAATGTGTTCTAGAGCGGGCAGCACGGTGGCGCAACTGGTAGAGCTGCTGCCTCTCAGCGAGCAGGTCCTTGGTTCAAACCCCGGTCCAGGGGCCTTTCTGAGTGGAGTTTGCATGTTCTCTCCGTGCATGCGTGGGTTTTCTCCGGGTACTCCGGTTTCCTCCCACAGTCCAAAAAAAAACATGCATGTTAGGCTGATTGGTAACTCTAAATTGTCCCTAGGTGTGAGTGAGAGAGTGAATGGTTGTTTGTCTCGTTTGTCTCTATGTGGCCCTGTGATGGACTTGCGACCCGTCCAGGGTGTACCCCGCCCCTCGCACAGTGATTGCTGGACATGGGCACCAGCGACCCCCGTGACCCAAAATGGAATAAACGGGTAAAGAAAATGGATGGATGGATGGATGTGTTCTAGAGGTAAACTGTGTGGTTTTTAAAGTATGTGATTTAAACCAAGCACAACTTTGGTTGTTATTTGTTCAGTTCATTTACTATGAAGGTCTAAAATTCAGTTCATTTCAGTTTATTTAGATAGCGCCAAGTCACTCACAACAGAAGTCGTGTCAGGGCACTGAACAAAAACGTTCACATTCATAAAAGTCAATTAGTAAAGTTATCTGTCTAAGGAAATCAGCAGATTGCGTTGAATTTTCATTTCGACGCAGTCTCCCATACTGAGCAGGCACAAAGGCAACAGTGGAAAGGAAAAACTACCTTTTAACAGGAAGAAACATCCAGCAGAACCAGGCTCAGGAAAGTTTGTAAAATATTTATTGAGTGTTTTAAATGCTAAATATTGTCATTTTAATTTTGTTACAGTTTACCTGGCTTCCTCGTATAATTCACCAGGCAATAAACAACCACAACAACAACAGACTAATTTATGTTGTAACATACTGTGTTAAATACAATGTACGTTTTGTTCCATGACAATAAATTACGTGGTTATTTTGCTGCGTGGACCCAAAGGACCTTATATTCCTGAATAAACTACTTTTGACTTTGGCTAGATAAGATTAGGAATGAGATCATCAGAATTGTATTTATTATAGGTCTGTTTGTATTTATTGTTCTGTTGTGTATCTGCACTGCGTGTTGTATTTTTTGCACGCTATGTTCTGTGTTGCACTGTGAATGCTGGAGGAATGCTGTTCGTTTCAATATGTACTTGTACATTGCTGAAATAACAATAAAACCTCTCTGACTCTGAGAAGTGTAGCACAGGTTGAACAACCAGACTGAGATGGTTTGGACATGTCCAGAGGAGCGACAGTGGGTATATTGGTAGAAGGATGTTAGAAACGCAGCTGCCAGGAAAAAGACAACGAGGAGATATATGGATGCAGTTAGAGAGGACATGGAGGAAGATGGAGTGAGGACAGAGGATGAAGATGACAGAGTGAGATGGAGGATGACTCGATGTAGAGACCCATGAAGAGGGAAAAGCCAAAATACATTTCATGTAATTTTTTTACATGTATGCCAAAGTTTTTCCACTTTATGTGCCACAGAGATTTTAAATAATTTTGTTGGTTAAAGACTACTTACGTAATTAAAGAACTGATAAATATTGGGAAAACTCAAGAAATTTGATAAAACAGAAAACTAGCAATGGATATTACAAATAAGCTCTAAAAATATATTCTCACTAGAATTATTTTAGATATTCAGAAATGGACAGTGACTTTAACTAAAGATATTGTTTTATGTAGAAATAGCCAGCTCTATTAAAATGAACTAATCAATTCTTTCTGACAGAATTACCCCACAAAGTTCATCTGTCTTCAACTGAAGTTTATTGCTCTTTGCTGAACAGATCCCAAGAACCATCTGGTGAAAGTGCCGCGCACCGAAACACGTCGGGACGCATTCAGCTCGGTGTCTCTTCGTATCTCCACGCAGCCATCTAAATATAAACAAGTGTCTGTGTTTTCTGTCACCCTTGATCCCTCGATTAAGCGATGACATAAGCTGCAGTGCAACCGTGCTGCCTGTGTGTGCGTGGACGTGACCTTGGCACCGTGTGCTCACTGCAGACTGTGACTGATAGCCGTGCGTCGGGGGCTTTTAGCATGATGTAGCCTGTGCCAAAATGTTATTGTGACTCTCAAACTCCAGCCCAGATGTGTCCCTGTGATGGTAAATCCTGGATCATCTCTTGTTATAACGCTACACAGTGACAAGACGGTCATCGTGGACAACCATTATAAAAATATCCCGCTAATCTTGTTTTCTGATTGCTTCTCTATCAGTGTTTCTGAAATATTTAAACCATTTTGGAAAGATCGGCACTGATATGTGCATCGCCTGCGGGAACAAATGCTTTTAGCCGATCTCAGAGATGGTGAGAAATACAGAGAAACTCGTTTTTGTTCCTCAGCCATTATCACGGTCTTGTGAAGCCTCTTCCTGTACAGCCATTTCATACAAGAAGATTTAGCCTTTGGTATTTTTATAACCACGCAGAGAATTCCCACTGAACCTCCTACTTGCTTCTGCAAGCTTCTATATCAAGACAATCTGGAAATGCGTGTGAAAAACAACAACAACACAACCCTGCATCTTTTGTTTGACCTCATTCTCTCAGGAGAAGCAGCAGCGCAGGTCTGGTTTTCTGCTCATGAACAGTAAGCGGGCTTTCTTGACTGTGCAGTAAATTTTAGGATACGCATCCATCACAAAGAAAAAAAAAATCCCAGTCTGATTCAAACTTCCTGTTTGCTCACAGTCAGTCCAATAAATCAAATAACTTTGTCCTAATTCCTGTACTAGCTCATTATGACAATGAGGGATGGAGGCAGGTGAGGAGCAGTAAGCTATCCAAATCTAATAAAGTGCACATGGACCGATGAACGTGTTCACTTCGCCCTCGCAAACATTTTTTCATGAGCTGTCCCAATATTTTGCTAACTGCTGCAGTCTCTGGGTCGTTTTAGGTTACCCACCACAATGTAGCGCCATCCACTTCAGCAGAAACAAGCGGGGGGCACGGTGAAATGTGGCCTCACCCACAAAAAGTGCTTACCAAGGGCAGAGCAGACAAGACGTATTTCCACCGTGAGCCAGCAGGAGCATGAAAGTATCCACTCATGCCTGGTTTCTTTTTGCACTGCTGAGAATACGAGAAAGTATCAGCTCGAAACGAGCCTCCAGGTGGAACAGCAAGTCTGAGGAAGACTGAACCCTCTTTGGACTGGCAAGTTAAAATAATGGAAAGGATTCATCTTATTAACCTTCTTCTAGCCAGGCTGGCTTAACACACTGGCTTTAACTGGCTTTACACACGTTACTCCATCATGACTATCAGCTTACGGTATTATCTTCTTGTCATAAATCCGGATTGGAACAGGGATATAAGAATGC